AGGCCTTCCATCATCCAGGGACCTTTTATGTTGGAGTGCAGGTAAGCGCAGGTGTTACAACTTCCTCTAAAGATACTGCAATACAGCTACTGAATCCTTAATACTAGCCAAATAAAGAGGTAATGCTGCAGCACATTAAAAATACAGTTTACAAAGCAGTTTTATTAAAAACGGAAAACTAAAAATGTAGAAGCTATGAAAAATATCTCATGGGTCACCTTTTTATTGTTTTCTTGTTCAGAATCGTCCACAGCCTATATGGGGAAAAATATAGATATTATCCAAAATTGTTTCAAAATCACACACTCAAAACTCAAACGCGGAGAGAGGGAATACTTTGGGCAGGTCTGTTAAATATATCCTTTCCACTGTTTGCATGCAGTTTTTATTTCCATTCAAAAACAACAACATGGTTGGTAAGATGCCAAAGTAAAGACCTTCTGATCAGAAAGGAGGAAAAAAGGGGAAGTCCTTGATCAGGAATTATAAGGTGGTTGGGAGTCCAGTCTAGATAATGGATACTTCTGGATTTACTGTAAAACAAAAATCTTGTTTGCTCAGGGGATTGATTTGCTGAATTTATATCCTACTGCAATCAATTGTCATGCTTTTTTGCTTACATACTAGAGGTGAGTTGCTCCCTGTTAGGCCAAGATTGGGCGAACCAGTAGTGGCGGCGGTGGGAGGTTTTGCCTACCCGCCCGGACGCTTCTGTGCATGCATAAAAGCGTCATGCGCACGAGCGAACCGGTAGTAAAAATAATGAAAACCCACCACTGTTAGTACTACATAACTGGATTATGAAAGCAAGCCAGTTAGCCCAGATTAAAATGAAGCACATAATGATTAAATGGAGGGAAGAAGCTCATTAACTAACTAGAAACATACTATGACATAAGGGGGATCTTAATTATACCAAAGTTGAAATTCTAAAGAAAACAAAAGAAAAAGCAACTGAGATATTAGAACTTTTGAACCAGCAGACCAAGAGGTTTTGTTTTTTAAAAAAGTTGGACAAAAGCCAGCTGGCAACAAGCAAATATTCTGCTTCATCAACTCCCCAGGTAAAACCCAGAAAACATCTATATAAGAAGGAAGACGCCAGAATTCCAGCAGGAGCAAAGTTACAAAGTAGTTCAGAATTAAAATGTTTCCCTGGGCAAGCAGAACTTGATGTGTTTGCTGTTGGAATACTGTTAACAAAGAAAACAAGGGGAAAAAAAAGATATCCCATGGAATGGTCTGTTAACAAAGAATCTCTGGTCCTTAGATAGAAGAGGAAGCTGTCCCAGTCTCAGACAGAATTATTACTTCTTCTTTCTTCCAGTCTTCTATATAGTCTCCTACTATTATCTCAAATTTAGCCCTTTAGATTGTTTCTTTTGCTATTTTTCAGACAGTTGCTTTTTAGGATCTAGGACAAATTGTCGCAGCCAACTTGCCATGATCAACTCACCATGGGCCAACCCGTCACCACCAACCTCGCCACGGGACAAAGGTGAGTGGTCCCATTCCATGCTTTTCACTATTCCCAGTATCAGTGAGAAATTATTCAGTACAGGTACCAATTACTCATGAGACAATAATCTCCTAGCTCTTTAGTCCTTCAGCAGTAACTATCAAAGAAGAAAGTCAGGTCTTGCCTTTGTAACTTTAATTCAAATTATATGTATGAAGGCTGTACAATATCTTCTAGGAATGGCTTTTATTGAGGAAAAAATGATTTGGGATGCTCTGCATGGTATTTTCTGAGGACAACTCTTGATATATCGTAATACAATATGACCTGGATAAATAGACACTGCTTGTTATTTAAAATTGTTCTAAAATGGCATACACATTTTTTTAACCTATGTGTTCTTTTGGTTGCCTTTTAATCTTTTAATTAAATAAAGCTGTCTTACCTTTTTGATGTGATTAGCTACAGATTCTTTTTGGCTCAGGTCATCTGCAGAAAGCTCACTTCCAAATTTATACTCTGGATGTGCTTCCTCTTCTTGCTCCCCTATGTAGTAAAACGGTACAAAAGGGAATAAAATGATAAAAAAACTACCAAAAACCAAAAAAAGAAGCAGCAAACCAAAGATATCAAACCAAAGGCAACAGAAAGGTTCCTTAACTATCAGCCTTCATTCATTAAGGGAGATCATGCTCCACTTCATGCAAATCCAATGACAGCTAAAACATGATTTAACCTTCTGTATTAAAGATTCATCCTCAATTTTCTTCCATAGCTCTTCATAAATTACCCACTCATAATAAATTTGCTAACTGATGATGACAAAGAGGCAGAGAATAATTCATAGGAGGACAGAAGGTATACTTTCACTAAGGGCTTAGCAACTGGATGAATCCCAGTTTTATTTTCTAGTGTTTAAGTTGTCCCATTCAGAACTTACTTTAAAGCCAACTCATTACTTTTCATAAACAAGTTTCTCTCCCTTCAATCTATCTGCTCTCAACCTATCTAGTTTGAAAACCACTATGTTCAGTTGTAATTTATCAAACCTGAAGCTGAGAAGGACATCAAGGGCTACAGAAAAACCTTTGGGAGGCATTGGGATATGATGTCTTGCTACAGATGTTGCCCCTTATTATAGCCTGGATTTCCTGCACATAATCTTAAATTCAGAACCCAAAGATAAATGTACAAGTGACTGCTATAAGAAAACAATAAATATCAGCTGTCAAGTCAAAGGGCTCATTCTAAGGCAGGGGTGGGGAATAATGACCCTTTTATGACTTGTGGATTTCAACTCCCAGAATTCTTGAGCCAGTTATTCTATGCTGGCTCAGAAATTCTGGGAATTGAAATCCACAAGTCATAAAGGAGCTTTTGTTCCCCATCTGTTCTAAGGCAACATATCCAGCATGCTATTACCTGATACACTGCAAACTTCAGCAAGAGGAATTAAAAAACATGACAAGTAAAACATCACTTTACCACATTCTATCTCCTCTTCATTATCATCTTCCAGAATGCTGACAGGAGCAGCCGTTTCACCAGCCTCCATCATACTTTTCAAATTTTCAAGCTGTTCTATTTAAAAGAAATATGTGTACATATCCATTCAAAAGCCCCACAAAATTTTGGAAAATAATTCAGGTAAAACTTGGTTTAGAAGGTTTGCATAAGAATTGAATTCCAGTGTATTTCTTAACAGGGTCACTATTTCTCATTACTGGTATTGAAATAATATTCTATGTTATTGCATTCAAAATTACTGCCACATGACTAATCACAAAAATGTACATATACAAGTAGAAGTGGATATGTATGGGAATATAATCTCTTCTTACCCAGGTTACAAGGTGCTGTAACATGTAATTGTATTATTTTTTGCTTGATAGCAGTGCATAGACATAGCAATTCCCTAATGGCAGAAACCAGATATAGCAGGGGTGTAAAACACAAGGCCCCAGGCTGTGGGAATCGCAGTCGCCCATCGCCGCCTCCACATACCCCATTTTCAGCCCTGCATGTCCCATTTTCAGCCTTCACGTGTCCCATTGTTGGCCTCTGCGCATCCCATTTTCGGGCCATTCCAGGCGCCAGAATGGGCCAAAAACAAGATGCGCAGAGGCTAAAAATGGAACAAGTGGAGGCCAAAAACAGGATGCACAGAGGCTGAAAATGGGGCATGCGGAGGCAGAGATAGGCAGCAGCAGTGATGGGCAGCGACAGCAGCAATGGGCAGCGGTGATCCCTGCAGTCCGGAACAGATGATCGGCAGTATTCCGGGAGACTGATCCAACCGCCAATCAGCTTCTCATGCTAAATCAGGCTGTGCTGAAGCTGACCAGGCTGTTTACTATAAGGAGGCAAATTGCTTGGATGCAGAGGGAGATTTTTTTTTTCTTGTTTTCCTCCACAAAAGTTAGATATGTCTTACAGTCCGGAGCGTCTTATAGTACCAAAAATACAGTATATATGTATGATGGGCAGGTATATATATATTATAAATATATACATACAAATAGGCGATAGCAACTTTCCTCCAGAGGAATTGGGATTCTAACTTTCAACCTTGTCTATAAGCATAATGGCCATATTTACTGAAAGCAAAAAAACATCAATACATCTAGTGATAGTAAGGTAAAAGCAAAAACTTTGACCCTACAATGTAGGATTCTCCAGAAGATGCCCTTTCAAGACTTCACAAATAATTCACAGTGCAATGAAGTGCTATTATTAGGAAACAATGGAGGTTACCAACACACAATTTAAGCAATAGTGTTTTTTCATTTAGACATTAAACATTTTAAATGCACTTTAACTTACTTTTTTCCACCTCTGGCTTCAACCTCTTGTTTTTAATAAGAATCTTTTTTCTCAGATCATTTGGGGCGGGCAAGGGTCTTCCTGGTTCGAGCTGAAAAGCAAAAAAGGCATAATTAGGAAATACACTCCCTGCTGCCTTTTCTTGCTGCTTTCCTCACAATTATTGTGGTGGTGACAGTTATGCACTCACACAGACACCTAAAGGAAGAACAGTCGTTTGTGACTTGCAGAATGCCTGTTAGAACTCCTCCCTTTAAAAGATACCTAGGAAATTATCTTCTTGCATTTGACAACTTACCCGTATTTTTCGGAGTATAAGACGCACCATTTTTCCTCAAAAAAGAGGCTGAAAATCTGGGTGCGTCTTATACATCGAATACAGCATTTTTTGCCTCCCGAAGCCCCGCTCCCTTCACCAAAATGGCCGTGCATAGCCTTATGAAGGCTTTCAGAGAGTTCCTGGGGGCTGGGGAGGCAAGAAATGGGCCATTTTTTACCCACTCAACCCCCAGCAGCACTCTATAAGCCTCCGTAAGGCTATGCATGCCTTTTTGTCACGCAAACGGGCTGTTTTTTGCTCANTAAAACATTTCTTACTTATTTCAATCATTTATGACCTGTAGCCCTTACTTTATATGTTAAAACAGCTTCAGGTATCTGAAGTAGCATATTTCAAATATTCCCTTTTCTACGCTGCATTGTCCTAGATGCTTCTTACCTGCACGGAACAAGTTGCTGCAATAACACCATCCACAGGAGTCTCAGAAAAAGGGTCAAATGTCCGATCAGGACGCCGCATGAAATCTGGTTTAAGAAGATAACTTTAAAGAAAAAAAATCAAAACACACATTAATCTCTCCCTTTTGAAAATTGAATGTACACCACAAAGTAATACACAGAGAATTTGGAACAAGGCAATGAAGAAACCTATTTAATTATTCATAATTATTTATCAAACTTAGAGAGCAGCCGTATTACTCTCGGAACAGCTCTGATAAACTTCCAAGTAAGCTTCTATGTTGCCTTCTTTAATTTACAGGTGGAACATTAACTTTTTATTAATCAGTAAAAAAAACAAGCACACAGTTTGGGAACTAAGTTATGTATTTCAAGAATGTTACATTAAAAACTGTTGCTCAGAATTATCAATGTGAACTCTTCTGTCCTTGCCACTTAGTTATATTTCAGACTTCGGATGCCTTTCCAAAAGTTACAAAGGGCAAAGTTATATTACATCTTGTATTTCTTTTCAAAGGTTTTAATATTCCATATATCGCAAACCTCTTAAGTCATATTTTCAACGTTTCAATTAAATAAATAAACTGGCATAGAAGATAACAGAGGAAATCTGAAATGCCCTACTCGTAAGAAAATATCTAGGGCTTTTAAATGTACATCCCTGGGAATGCTGCAGCAGAAAATATGGTTATATGATAAAGACACTTGATCTTCAAGAGAAGTTGCATGATTTTGGGGTGAATTGAGTAACTTTGTGCCCAAATGGCACCTATATAGCATTACACAAGTTATTCTGCCAGCACTTAGTTGGGAGTTGTTGCGATTCGAAACTAGTTCAACTTTTGTACAGCAATTGATAGCAAATAAATCTTGCAGACAAAATCCGTTTAATAATTTTAAAAAAATCTTAAGGCAAAATGATCTGTATTCCAAATCCCCAACCTTTGCATTTTAGGTGATCATCCTCATATGAGAACAATGGGGACTATTAGCCAAATAAGGGGGAGAGGTTGCCTGCTTAAGCAGATGAGAAATTAAATTACTAGTAACAGGAAAAGCCTCCACATTCCAAATTGCCTGAATTTAGATTTTTAAATCTAAATTTGCTCTGATTCGCTATTTATAACAACAAGTAATCTATTCATAAGTTTAAAAAAAACCAAAGCTGCCTAGCAAATTTAGATTTAGAAATTTAAATTTGAGCTTTTTAGAATGTGGACATAAAACTCTACTATCTTGTATCTTAGCCCTTTATTTCCAAAATGTGGTTTCTCTCTTGCTCCTCATCCTCTCCTCCCCTTCAGAGACAGATCTCCCAGATTCTTTCATAAAATATAACATCAGGCTGAATTTCTACAGCTTGTATTTCATTTACAGCACATAATTAAAAGTGATGTTCTATATAATGGCAGCTGTTAAATATTGTTACTTACCCACACGACCCGTTGTATTCAAATTTCCCCAGATTCAACTGCATTGCTAGATCTGTGAAGAGGTAAAAATAATTGAAATCTTATTATTGAGCAATACCTATCTGGATAGTCTTTTTAAACTAAAAATACAATTTATTTTGGATAGCCAGTTTAGTTGAAATGCTAATCCCACGCATTCCTTGAAAATAAATATGTTTTCTACTTCAGTAGAAATATATTCATCATAATAAGTTCCCGTTCTTTCAGTTGTTTGTAAAATATGAAATTCTAAAAGGGTGTAATTAAAATACTGCATCCCCTTTCCCATCTTTTCTATCTCTCCATTCTGAAGATACGGGTTTGTTAAGTGAATAGTAACATCCTATAGACTAGGACAATAGTCAATAGTGGAAATTGGTCATAATGGACTACAATATTGGGTTAGCAATCCCTACATGTCTGATAGTTATTTACCAATAAATCCAATAACCCTCCACTAAACCTCCAATAAGAATAAGGAGCTATATTGCTCGTGATAGAATTTGATAGACTTCAAACCATCTTCCATATGGTGATTGTTAACAGGGCTACTTTGCTGATTCTTCAATGGATTCTAAATATCAACCCATAGATGTTTTGGTGCAACCAAGTCACGAGGATGTATTTTCTATTGCCCTTCATGACAAACAACAAGCAACAGCACACTTTTAACTCAAAAAAAGTGACACCTATTAATACTTTCTGCTTTGTGGAGAAGCAACTGGCTTCCATACTAGCTAGTTAATCACCATTATTTCCCTCACTAGAAAGAAAAGAAACAAGTTCTCTGGCTCAACATAACAACATTTTAATTGTAGTTCCTGGTATTGTCCCTTATATTTTTACTCAGAATTTATTTCTAGAAATTTCATGCATGCATGCATGCATGCATGCATCCATCCATAGCTATATATCTATCATCTGTTGTGCAGGTTTTATGCTGATGTATAAAGACATGCAGAAAATGGTGCATATCTGTTTTACTGCTTTCAATCTAATTGTCTGCCTAGCTGGATGTAGATTCTTATATTTAACCATGTGAATGAATTCTCCAACAATGCCAGGAGCAAAAGCCACAGCATCTGGCAGAGAGCTTCTACTCAAGCTGCCATTCTCTGAGATTTAGAGTCGGTGGGTAGATCTGCTTACCTGGGGTCTGATAGTTAAGGGAGACCATCTGGCATCCAGCGTTCCAGAAAATTTGAGGCATGTAATTGCTGGAATCCACTCTGCCTCCCTTTGGGTATATTCGACTCATTTGCCGTTTATTGTAGCTGTAGTATTTAGTCAGGAAAATTGGAATAACCAAACAACCAAGAGGTAAAATGATCATATCTTCACATCTTAATTTTTAAATGTTTTAATTCATGGGGCATTTTTCACGAAGTGCATACTATATTGTGTTTTATTAAGGTACTGTGTGTTGTTAGTTGCAGTTAGTTCCTTGTTTCTTAAGGCTAAAGAGTCTCATTATAGCTGCATCAATGCAAGGATACTTCACAAATTCAATTGCGTGCGTCTTCAAATAACCCAACCCGACAGACTCATTAAAAGAGGACATGTTGTAGTGAATGTTGCGTTCTAGAAAAAAAACCCATAAAATCTGTTTTGTAAAATTTTCAGAATGAAAAATTGGTTAGGAGAATATTAAAATATTACATTTAAAAAAAACATATTTATTACAGACATGAAATTGAACTTCAGGATAAAGATATGCCCAACAAAGAAATTACAGAAATCCACATAAAGTATATGTGTGGAATAACAATATTTATCTCCTAGAACTGACAGCCAGATTAATTGGGATGAGAAATGAGGCAGAAATGATGAATTAAGATCAAGAGTAGTAGTATAGCATGAATTTTTTTTAAAAAAAAATGTTTTTAAGTCAGAAAAAGAATAAACGTTGCAAAGAAACTTCAGATCCTTAGGGTAGTCACATTTAATGGAAGAGAGAAAAGCAGAAAACCAAAATCAAGCCAAAAAAATAAAGTAATCTGTTCCATGCAAACTCTTTTTAGTTGGGTGCCAATGCTGGTTTACTTTCTCTTTGTAATCTGCTGCCCCCAAGTGGAGAAAGGATAACACTAATTATTAGGAAACATCATGCATGAGATAATAAACAGTAATGAGGAAGAACACAGGTAGTCCTCGACTTACAACAGTTCATTTAGTGACCGTTTGAAGTTATAACAGCACAGAAAAAAGTGACTTATGACTTTTTTCACACTTACGGCTGTTGAAGCATCCTCATGGTCACGAGATCAAAATTCAGATACTTGGCAACTGACTCATATTTATGACGGCTACAGTGTCCCAGAGTCATGTGGTCACCTTTTGCGACCTCCTGACAAGCAAAGTCAGTGCGGAAGCCAGATTGGCTTAACAACCATATTACTAACTCAACAACTGCAGTGATTCACTTAACAATGGGGGCAAGAAAGGTTGTAAAATTGGGCAAAACTCACTTAACAAATGTTTCACTTGAGCAGCAGACATTTTGGGCTTCATTGGGGTCGTATGTTGAGGACCACCTGTAAAAGTAACTACTGGTACGACAATAAGGGGAGGGGTGGAAACCCTATTTTAAAAAAATCTTTTAAAGTTACCTTCTGCTACACTGAAACCTTGAAATTTAACAGGCTGAGCGTAGTTGATCAATGTTGATAAGTACGGGTGTATATTAGTGGTGGCACCTACATATTTATAAGAAGCCATCCATGCTTGTTCATCGTCTGCAGTTATCACGCCCTGAAAGTGTATTGAAATAAACACATCCATTGGTGGTAGCATCTCTGGGTTCAAGTGGGAATGATTGGAAAGAAGAGGCAGTCAGAATGAGAATAGCATAGAAGAAGCATACTTATTTAATTTTTGTCAGTGCCTGCACATGTTTACCTGTAATGAAGAAAGATATGGGTTGCGTGTTTAAATAAATATACTGTTGTGTAGGGCAACAGTATATTTGTCCCAGAGCTCCGGCAGGCCCGCCAAGGAGGAGCCCGGACGAAGCTGGAGCGAGAGCCGCAGAGGCGAAAGGCTGGCCACTCGGGGCTTGGAAGGGGGAGCGGAATGCGGGTCCTCCACTCCCGAAAAGTCCGGGGAGGGAAGCGGGGCTGGCCCATTTCCTCCCGGGGCTGCTTGGAGATGGAACCGGGGCTGCGGAGACTCACCCGCGGCCGTCTTCTCTGGAGCGGAGGGGGGGGGGGCAATATAAGCGCAGCTGAGCCTCTTGCTGCTGCAGGCCTGGCTTGCGGAGTGCAAAACGGGAAGGGGGCCTCTTGGAACCCCTCCCCTCTTTGCCTTTCACCTCCGTGGCTCTCACTCCAGCCTCGTCCGGGCTCCTCATTTGAAGAAGTCAGTTTCTTTTTGCCACTTTAAATATTCTTCAGGGAACTATTTCTATTTCAACTGGTGAACCAAATAATACATACATGTTGCAGTGAATTTTGGAAAGTGTTCAAGAATAACTATAATTTTCTATAGGAAACTGACCAAGTGTATTACTACACTTATATACTCGGTCAAACATCAAATATCACTTTATAGCTGC